CTGGTTTTGTTCTCTTTCTCTGACAACAGTGCCCTTGTTTACTGCCGATGACAGTCACCTTCCTTTTGGGAATTGTTTGCCCCATGTAATTGTCCCAGCGGAAATTTTCCAACTCCCCAAAGACTTGTAAGCCCAAGTAAGGTAGCTCCTTTAGGAGTAATAGTGAACAATATGGATGAATAAAGGATGGAACTTTATATTTAATTTTATTAAGCTTTTTCTGGGCTTTACCTGCTCACAATATAGCATTTAAAACATGTGAAGGAGTGAGCAGGGAAAGTGAAACTCCCTTTCCAGCTAGCCTGAGCAACTACTCCGAACTCTTTCTTTAGTGTACACGTCCAGAGTGTACACATGTTTAATGTCTGCACAGCCAGTAACGCCTTGCACAAACTAGTACACATCTCAGTCTTTCAATTAAAGCTATTCTTAATTCGTAATCATTTGCTATTACAAATGATGTTGCAGTTAATTCTTGTACCTGTATCATTTTGCACATGCACTTTGTCTACATTTCAAGATAGATTTAGTAAATCAAAATGTTCATGTTTCCAAATTTGATTGATTTTTGCCCCAAGTTGCTCTTCCTAAGGACTATCAGACTTGATTTGCAGCTGTGTGTGAGAGCTTGTTTTCCCCAAACCTCTATCAAAGGGCCACTTAACTTTTCAACCATTGTTCATATGGCCGTGAAGAGTTACATGTCATGAAAGTTTAAATTTGCATTTCTCCTAAAGCATCTGTGGTTGCACACATTTGCACGTATCCAGGAGCCTTTCATATTTCCTTGCAGTGATTCTTCAGTTTATGACCATTGAGTTAATTCTCTTATTGGAGTATAGAAATTCCTTGTAAACTGACAGAAATAGCAGTTATTTTCCTCAGTCATTGGACTTTTTAAAACTTCATGTGTGATGTTTTTAAAGTTTTTTTAAAGATTTATTTATTCATACAGAACTGGGGTACAGGCCAGAGGCTCAGGGGTAGTGAGAGGCTTCACCAGAGACAGAGTGGGGAACAGAACAGTCAGATCGACGAAGTACACTGCTGAGGGGAGCAGCGGGCGGGTCAGGAGAGGTCTGCCGCACCATGTGGTCACCTCCGGGACAGGCGGGAATCGAACTCATGCGGAAGTGGCTTTAGCTTCTCAGTACAGTGCTGTAACCCACTACGCCACCAGGGAGGGCCCATGTGTGATGTTTTTATGATACAGAAAAAGTTAAATGCTATGAGTTAAATTTATAGATCTTTTCTGTCTTCTGGATTTTGTGTTCCTTGCGAGCAAGTCCTTTCTCCCCTGGTTTCAACTAGTATTTCTTTGCTACAGTTTTCACAGTGAAAGATTTTATCTGTCTGGAAGTTATTTTGGCATGTGGTATGAGGCAGGAATCCAACTTAAA